AGAGAGAGAGAGAGAGAGAGAGAGAGAGAGAGAGAGAGAGAGAGAATCAAGGAGCATGGAAGGTATTGGTAAAGGGGGAAAAACCATCTGTTTAGAAAGTATTATTATCAGATGTAGATGGAGTACTTTCATTACCCACAGTATTATTTTTTGGGTAGCCTAGGTACAGAAGGATAGTTGTCATGTTTCACAGGTCTTCCCTTAGGACAAAGCAACCTCTCCCACCCTATTCAGATTGACATGTAAATTTAGAATGTATAGTTTTCATGCTCTGGTCTCTGGTTTTTGGATTTATAACTCTGTTTAGACTATTCCATGCATTTTAGGTATATTTTGTGCCTTCAAAAGCTGCTAATAATATTCAGCATTTGGATTAAAGATGTTTAATAATAAAACATATATTTGCTCCCTACCCTGTTATTCACAGAAATGAAGCAGAGATATTTGGCTTCATGCATTACTGAATATTGTTTAATCAGCACTGAAAGTGAAAGAGTTAAAACTGCTCAGATACTGGTGTCTTTCAGAATTAATCAAGAAGGCTTTCTAGGGTGACTTTGCCCCAAGTGATTATTGGACTAAAAACAGACTGGAAAACAGAAGAAACTGCCTTTTCCTATTCCTCCCCTTTCTCCTTTCCCCTCTGTCTCCTGTTCTCCTTTCTTTTCCTTTTCTTCCATCCTCCTACTCCTTCTTTTCCTATTACTTCTCTTTTCCCCCCTCTTTCCCCTCATCCTCCTTTACTTCTGCCTTCTCTTCCTCTTCCTTCCTTCTCATCTATCTCTTCCGTCTGTTTTTCATTCTTCTTTGTTTTCATTTGTCTTCTCTTTGTCTTCCTCCTTATCTTTCTATTGATAGATCTGTGATTTAACCCTTTCATGACCCAATTGATCTGATTGATTATCTTTGAGTTTTGCTAAAATCAAGACCGTTGTCCACCCTTCTGCTGATCCTCTCCTGATTTACCTCTTGAGACAATAGGTCTATAGTATATTGCTAAGCCCAAATACTCAGCATTTTCACTTTAGGGGGACCTTGCAGAGCTTCTGATCCACTGCCCAACCTTTGAGAATGTAGTATCACCTACATACCTTGATGAGACTAGAGGAGCAGGACTTCAATGGAAGTTTCTTCATTGTACTGTTTTGCATACCTAATGAGCTAACTTGAAAATTATATTTTGATAACTTTCTAAAGGAAATGTGAGGTCAGTGTTGGATGTAGCCATTATTTCACATTTTTCTCTTTAGTCGCATTTGAAGAGGGAAACCTGAAGCTTTCAGGTATAGACTCTATAGTTTGTGTCAGAAAGTTTTCCCAACCATCAACTTCCCTTATTAGCATGAACTCAATCCCATTGCCCTCTAATATGGTGTAGCTTATCACTGTGCTGTTCAGCTGATACTGACCAGTTTGATTCAACTACCAAGATCGTAGGGAAGAGGAGGAAGCTTTCCCTGGGAAGTGCCCTGGGAATAGGTTTTGAGGTTCTATGTCTATAACTGGCAAGCCATTAAGTGATTCCCAGTGATGGTTACGATAATGCATGGAATTTGCCACAATGAGGATAGTAGTGCCCATTTGTTTTAATTAAGAGGATATTCTCTCCAAAATGAGTAGGGATGTAAAGAAATCATGAGACGACCAAAAAGACAGTAGACTTTGATTAATTTTTTAGCATTGAGATCAAGTGGAGCTATTTGTTTTAGAAATAATAACAACCTAGATCTTTAAAATATACAATCACACAATTTCTAAAAGGGAAAAGGATTGCATACCTGGCAACTAGTGCAGCATACTTGGAGGATACAAAGAATCAACATTGTCTTTTTAGGAAAGAAAAAAAAAGGATGATTTAGAGAAGAATGAAGAATGATAAAACCCAAGTGACAAAAAGCACACGAAAGAATAATCCTCCCTCTATTTGTACCTTCGACAGCTAAAATTCACAGAGAACAACTAGTAAATCAATAAGTTAAATTTTGTTGCCCCTTCTATTGCCAAGGTTAATTGCTTGTTTAATTAAAGGTTTCTGCCTTGATATGTAGTCACTGGATAATTAGACTGTTCAGATTTCACAAATCTTATACTTTGCACTAGGGTACCAAATTCCATAGAAGCAATTCCATGAACTATCTCTGAACAAAACAAAAGCCTTCATTGACCTCATTATCTTTGGCAATAGAAAACTAAATAAAACCACAGTTTGGGTTTGTTGACTCTCCTTCCCTTGCTTTAAATTGTCCAATTTCAAAGTACCTCAATTTCCAAAACAATTTGTTTGTTTAGTTAAGTCCTGCCTGTATTTTAAACCAACAGAATAAATGAGCCAAGGGATAGTAGACTAGAGTTGGAAGGTACTCTAGAGATCATCTAGTCCCACAACCTCATTTTAAAGAGGAAA